ACGGTATGGAGGAGTGTTGATGACATGGACTCTATCTTTGACCTTTGACTTTTGACCTGAGTTGACTTTTGGCCAGTTCGTAGTTTTTAGGAAATGGATTGAGGGGGAGTCTTGTATGATTGTCTAGGTGGAGTATAGCACCTACATTCTGGAAGAGAGAGAGAGAGGGTAGCAGTTGAGTATCAACTGAGATGTGAGTCTCTTCACTGTAGTCATGGTTCAAAGGCAGGAATGTTGGCCCATTGGATTATGTTTATAGGATGATAGTTGTCTTTGTGACACTTGCTGATATGCATGTATGTGTTTGTTGTCTTTGTGACTTTTGTTGATGTTATTGTATGCTTAGTTGTAGGGGTGAAATAGACCCAGTACTGGTTGAAAGATACTGAAGGAGTTGAAATAGACTCAAGGGATGAAATAGACCCAATACCAGTTGAAAGATACCAAGAATTGAAATAGACTCAGGTGGTGAAATAGACCCAATACCGTTTGAAAGATATCAAAGCAGTTGAAACAGACTCAGGGGTTGTGACATCCCCATTTTTAAGGCCAGAAAAGACCGATTTGTTTATGCTTTATTTTAAAAATCAGAGTATATTTTTAAAGAAATATATTGCGAAATTTGTTCTCAGAAAAACATGATAAATATATTATCAAAGCATTTCCGAATAAATGTAGTTTGTTCATATTAAAACGTTGGGATGTCATCGTCAATACTGAAACATAATCATAAACAGACCTTACATTTATTTACACTAGTGATCTACATCTCCTTTAAATCTCTCAGTGTAAAGTGGCTTCGTATCGACACCTGTGATACAAATAAACTGAGTGGGTCAGGTTGGGAAACCTGGTGAGCACATAGGGTTTTCAACCCACAATAATATAATTATTATATTTAATCATCAAACAATCAACCTAATTACTCATCCCCATTATCTTCTTTTACTCTTAAGGATCTACCCTAAGAATTATCTACCACTCATTCCTAATGAATTTTCCTAAGGAATACGCACGAAGTACATCGTCGCCAGGGTTTATACAATAGGCACTAAATCTATAGTTTCCAGGGTTCATCCAACGGGTGCTAAGTCCATAGCTCATTTATCGACAGTATTATTTTCGGCAATCCACCGGAAATACATGTCAATGGGTTTTTAGATTACACCGGGTGAACACGCCGTTCACAACATCTACAGGTTGCGAGCCTGCTAGTGTTCCACGGACCGTCTAGAATAGTCCATTGTTGTCATCCATACTCTGCTAGATGACGGGGCCAACGTTTGGGTAAAGGCTTTTCTCACTTTTCACCTCTCACCCTCATCTCATGATCTATATCGCCTTTCATCTCATCTTCCAACTTATTTTTTTTATCACACACCAACTATTTTATCTACCCATGTTTTACCCCAACATATTTGTAGATATAAAATACATATACAGTTTAAATCATTTAAAACGTATATAAAATCGATCATCCAGCATAGACAACAAGTACTCAGATAATATGCACACATAACATGTAATTTTATATAAAATATTTCATATTTATGTGTAAGATGAAAGTAATATGCACTCACTTGTAGCGTGCTTTGATAGAATCTAACTAGAAATAGTCAGCGGCTCGTCGTTGTCCGGCTCGGGAAGGGAAACGGCTTCAGCAAACGAGAGAGAGAAAGAAAGTTAGGTGTAAGAAAGCTTAAGGAAGGGAAACGGCTTCAGCAAACGTCGTGAGAATTCATTTCTCACGTCGTGAGCCGTGCCTGATCACCTCGTAGCTTCGCCACCTGCGTTCTAGGCTTGCACGGTGTCTGCTTGACTCCTCACGTCGTGAGAATTGATGCTCACATCGTGAGCCCGTTCCGTAGACTTGCCATCTACATTCTAGCCTTGAAAAGTGGCGTTTTGACTCCTCACATCGTGAGAAAAGAGGCTCACGTCGTGAGTCCGGTCATATTAGGGTTTCTGACACAGCTGCATCTTCGGAAGGTCATAACTTTTGCATACGACCTTCGTTTTTTACGTTCTTTATATGCACGCGTAGGTGGAGACGTACTCTAAAACTTTCATTTAGACCCCTAAGGCTAAAAAGCAGTTTATCATAAACTCACTTTTTACGATTTCCGGTGTCGTGCCGGTTTTGTCACGAAACTTCGACATGTCATAACTTTTTCGTTATAACTCGGATTTCAGCATTCTTTATATGTACAGAAACCTTGTGACATATAATAAAACTTAGTTAAGATTATTTATTATAAATAATCTTCTATCAAAAAGTCATTTTTGATGCTTATCGTCTCTAAATTGACTAGCCTGAATTTGCGGGCGCTACAGGGGTGAAGTAAAATCAACTTAGTTTTTGGCTGTTATGTATGTTTTGCATGGGGTATTTTGAGGAAACTCACTAAGATTTGTGCTTACATTTTATGTTTATGGTTTCAGGTACTTCCGGTTTGAAAGGGAAAGTCCCAACATGATCGCACCGCATCCACCAGTATTTCGCATTTTTTGATATGATTTGTACTCTGATGACTATTTTATACATTATTACATTTTGGATGGATTTTGGAATGAATGAATAATGGCTTTGATAGTTTTAAAAGTAAAATTTTTACATAATATTTTAGGGACGTTACAGGAAGCATGTGGTATCATGTGGGTCTATAGTCATACCCACTTTAACAATATTATCGGGATTGGAACACATAAACTTGTGTGCATAATCCCAAACTCTTGCATATCAGTATGTCATTTTTTCTTCAATTAGAGATATTATGCTACACATAAACCTTAACACTTTTGACGAGGAAATCACATAATGGAAATTTCATTTGAATTATGGATTGCATCTCTTTACATTTCATGTTGGGTTCCCGTATCAAATCCTTCATAACTTTTCTTGCAATCCACATTGGATTCAAAAGGGAAGCATTGTTGGAATCGTTAACACATTTGTGTTCATATATTTTTTTTTAAACTTGGAAAGTCCTCTCTTTATTCATTCATTATGCCCGAAGTCAACAGGGATATAGAAGTTTGTCAGTGTTCCCCACATCTAACAACTAAACGAACATTATTATATTTTTGGAACCCGAAGCCAGTAACTACTGCTTATAACATAGTTAAACAATATGTTAGTTGATGTGATGAGTTATACTTATACCTTTCTCCAACAATTGATCTCATCTTATTCTACTTCATTGTTGAATCGTAGATATTGTATTTTACCCAACCATATCTTCCTAGTCAGTCTCACGGCTATCTCTTTGTTATCATCTTTATCGTCTTCAAAACTAATTTCCACTTGAGATTTGGTCATCTCAAGTAAAAAAAAAAATCAAAGTCTACAGCACATTTTGTGTTGAAGAATCATATTTGCACCTATTGTTGGCTTTTGTTTTGAAATCATCAACTTCTTCAAAGTCTATTACCACATCTTATAATACATCATCCTCGTACTCAACGTGAAGAAAATACGTTCTGCTAGGTTTTGATGATGACACCATTAAAAAAAATAATAATAAAAAAAATCAAACATCAACAAATGTTAATGGTGAAAAAGATGAAGAAATGTGAAGCTCTAAGGTCATCCGTTATACCCGCCACTAACCACTATAGTGGTGGGTGCCACATCAACATCACATTTCCTAACACTAACTATGTGATACCTACCACTAAACACACAACTCCACCTCATTTTTTTAATTAAATTTAAATAAAAAATACATAAAAATCATATAATTTTTTTTTTAAATACTAATTTTCATTAATTTAAAATACCAAATTACATTAATTAAAAACTACATTAATTAAAATAAAATAAAATAAAAATAACGTTAAAAATAAAAAATTACATTAATTAAAATAAAAATAACATTAAGCATTAAAAAGCTAAAAATACCAAACTTCTAATTTGTGTGTTTAAGCAAGGTTATTTCATTTTGGGGAATTCTTCAACTTTTGCCAAGCTTTGACATGTCTAAAACGTTGATGATTTGTGTTTTCATATTGCTCTATGGTCATATTAACCGGATCGATATCGGCTTCGTGTACGTTGTTTATAACAAAGTTGTAAATTTCATTGAACTCAGAACATTTGGCCCTCATATCGTGCCACTTCAAGCATATTTCATCAACATTTTCGAATTACACAACCCATTAAACCATGAAAAACACTTTCAACATTTCTCCAAAAAGAACCGGAAGTTTGACCAACGTCTTCTGCCGAAACCATCACCCATGCTTGTGCTAATTTCTTTTCTTCCTCTTCAGACCATTTCTTATTTTTGGGAGGCATGATTTTTAAAAGTATCAAACAACAAAAATGTTTGATGACTACAGAGAGAAGAAATGTGAGAAAAATAAGAAGATGAGGGTTAGTATTTATAGGTAAATATTGAAGGAATTGAAAAATAGCCGTTAGGAAGGAGGAAGAAAAGGTCAAACGAGACTTAATGCAAGAAATGAATTCATTGGTCGTTTGGAATCATTGTCTGGAGCACGAAGGGCCACGACCACGACCCACCACGAATCACCAGGGTGGTGTGCACGGTTGTGGTTCGTGGCCACCATACCGGATGGTCTAACCCCTTAAAAAACCCTAGAAAATTACTCATAATCCATGTAAGCGTTTGTATAGGCACATCAGTTATAGGATTGGGTAATTCACGGTAACTAGGTAATAACCCAAAATTGAATAAATTACCCGTTTTCATGTTGTAATATGTTAAAAATGTATGGCTAAATCATAAATAATTCCAACATATATAGATATATTTTTTTCAAAGGGTTTCATAAAAATTAACACTTTGTTAATGACACCCACAAACAAGCTAAACGAAAACATTTTACCATAATCAAGGTATATTAAGGTTTTTGGTTTGTTGAGGTGACAATAATATCATAAAACAGCTTAGCAGAAAAGCTTTTCTATTTCTATTGTAGATGCTCTTAAATACTCACTCCAATCCAAAAACTAAAACAAAAACAATTTCAAGAAACACTGAAACACCATTCCATTTTGGCTTTAAACACATGAAAAACACCAAAACCAACCCAAAATTTGATTAAAACACTATTTCACTAACCACTACCAAAATGACCCCTAAACACATGATATAGTATCAGTACTTGGTAGCATCATGATATGTACACCAACCTCCTTCAACATTTCCCTAACCATACAAACCAAACCAACTCCTTTCAAGTTTCAACATATCACAATTACGCTATTAACCCAAACACATAAATAAATAAATAAATACATGAGACACCATTTGCCATTTGATCCAACTCTTTTTCATTTTGTTTCAAGTTTCAAGATGAAATTGGTTCATATGGGTATGATAACCACGGGTGTTTCAAAGCTTCTGTTGCTGAAGGCCGTTTCTTTGGATTAATTTCAAGCAAATGAGACACGAAATCTATAAACCCTTGATCACCCATTGGTAACCTATGCCTTAATGATGTCTTCTTTGGAATCAGATATTCCAATCTGTTTGTATCCTGAATACAAACATAAAGTATAAAGCATAAAGCATCATGTATACATAGACTATTAGAATTATATATTTCAAGGTGTACCTGGTTTCGGTCATAAAGCATGTGATTTTTTGAAAAATATTTATACGTATCACGTCCTTTGACCAACATGTCTTGGTCAATGGGATTAATAATTCCAATCACTCTAGCAAGCAAAGTAGCAGGGGAATCATTCTGGAATAGAACCTACAAAAAATATATATATATATATATATATATATATATATATATATATATATTATTATTTCACTTTGGCAATTTGCATACTTTATAAATTATAAAAAGAATAACTAAAAAGTTAAAAACTCACATTTCCAGTACAAAGTTCAGCTAAGATGCATCCAAGGGACCAAATATCAATCTTTTTATCATATGAAAGCCCCAAAATAACCTCGGGTGCACGATATGACCTGGATTGAACATAAGAACAAAGATGATCTGTTTCAAAACAGCTGCTTCCAAGATCAATCACCTTCACTTCACATCTACTGTAGCTTTTCACTAAAATATTCTCGGGCTTTAAATCACAATGTATTAGCCCAAGTCCATGTAAAAACTGAAGCGCCTCTAAACACTGGATCGTTATCGACTGCATAAAAAAAATGTTATTTTTTTAGTTTTTTATCATAAAAAGAAAAAGGGGTGAAATGGAAACAAAACAAAACCTGCAATCTTGGCATTGTGAAGTAAACCTCTCCTCCGGATTCTCTATTGAATTTATGGAATTCGTATAAGTTTGCCTTGAGAAGTTCACAAACGATTAATAAATGCTCCTGAAAGAATTTATTATAAACAAGTTAATAATACAAAAAGGAAAAATCAAATTTATATAAAAAAAAGTTATGAATTTGACTTACTCGGTAGTAAAAGTAATCATAAAGTCTGAGAAGGTGGTATTTGTCACCGGGATCATTTTTGTTGATATATTTTAGAAGCTTTATCTCATCAAGACTCTGGTCAAAAAAGTCTTTGTTGTTTTTTATTATTTTTACACACACATCCATGCCTGTGTGAAGATCATGTGCTTGAATAGCTTTACTAAATGCAGCAGAACCAAGATATTCTGTAACATGATATCTACCAGCTATCACAGAATTTAAAACAACATGGAAATTCTTGTCCTCTTCAAATCCAGTTCTGAGAAAAAACAAAAATCAAGGGTAAAATGGTAATTTTAGATGCAATAGAAGACGATAAATATTAAATAAGACAATAAGACATACCTGTTTTTTCTGTGAACAATTTTGAGGTTGAAGATTTCGTAGTCTTCCTCTTGAGCTTTTATCTGGTTCACTTGCTCTTGGACAGCAGCTGCTTCTTCATCTTCCAATAATGCCCCTGGATCGTCTTCCTTAGAATTGGTTTCTTTCTTAGCAACATGGGCATTTTCGGCATAACCGTAATTTGAGAAAGTGGAAGGGCTCGAATTCGCTGAACCTACAGCATCTTGATCATCTTCTTCTTCTTCTTCCCTTGAACTCTTAACAGGTGATGAACTACTACTTTTTCGTCTCCATGGAGGGGCGAAATCGTCATTTCCCATTAAAGTATGCAATCGATTATCAGTTTCCTCACTTTTGTTTATCCAGAAAGCTTTATTAGAAGCAGCCACTGGCTGCCCGTCTCTAGGTGGTGGAAAAGAAAATCCACTGTTTGTCGTGTTTTTTGTTAAAATTACAGGTTTATCATGATGAAATGACGGTTTTACCCTTTTGTCTTTCGTGGATTTGTCAATATATTTCTTCTCAGAATCATGTGATGAAATACCAACATCATTATCACTACCAAAATCTGCAACATCGCTGTTGATTCCAACACCAATTGATCTCACAGAACCATGTTGTTCTTCATCTACACAAAGATCATCCAACAGGGGCATTTTAGTCTTTTCCAAGACTTGCCCTTCGCTTAACATGATAAGCTCGTTTGTTTGTGTCACGAACCCTTTCCACACAGGCTCTGCACGCATCAAATTCAACTCCTCTTCATCCATGAGCTCCCCATCATACTGAGCAATAACTGGATCCATACTTTTTGAATGAAAAAATTGGTCACCTGATAAATATGAATCCTCGTCAGCAAACGACTGATTGTCATCTTCGTTTTTTTCTGGAGATATTTCTTGTGGGTCCCGATTATTTTCATGATCTGTTTTCTTTTCATTGTCACTTGGGTAGTCAATTTCGTGAGCTAGAAACCAGGTTTCATCTTCAATTGGTTGTCTCATGTAGCCAACATCATCATCATCATCATATTCATCTGAATCCCAATAGTCATTTGGGTAATCAATGGATTCACTCATTCCATCACCAATTGTTGCAAAACCAGATACTAAATCAGAAGTGTCCTCAGTGATTCCCTGGCTTACAGAAAACCAATTGCCACCTGGAGGCCTTTTTCCACCTAAATCATTAAAGGAGTAGAAGGTAAGATCAAATAACATCCCTAGTTACATCATGAACAACATAGCTTTTAACAAAAATAAAAATCATACATATATTAGTGAGTACTGACCTGAAGAGCTTATTTCTTGGCCAATAGGAACATCAAGAAATGAGCCTATAAGAAAACTAGTATCAGCATTAATAGTCTTTGAACAAGGCCCATCACGTTGATACTTCTCCTCCCAAGTTATATTTGATGCTTTCTCATCTGACTTGAGTTTGACAGGTGGCAACCTAGGTAATTCTTCCTTGTGTTTCTCTGAGATAACTGGAAAACCCAACCCACCAAAAGCTTTTGATTCATTATTCCCTTGAGTTGTTGAAAAATACAAAGATTTTCCAACCTCATCCACTTGCTCTTTGATTGCTGCCCTAATGTTGTTGTCAACACCCCGTTTTCTATCTTCTTTATCTCCTATACCTGAATTAGCATCATAACTAGTTGATGCAGCTCCCTTGGGGAATGGAAACACTGTTTTAACAGAACAATCTTTCCATACATCTGATGAACTGTATTTAATTTCATCTGTTCTTGACCAAGGGTTGTCCATAAGTCTATCTTTATCAGCTAATTCAGATGGATGAATCTTTGATTGAGAAGAAACCGGATACTCTTTTGCATCATTTGCTCTAATGGAAGCAGCATCAGTTTGGTAAAGATCAACTGATCCATTACTGGAATTAAACTTTCTTGAATATAAATCAATCACAGTTTCTTCTGAATTATTAGATAACATATAATTTTTATCCCTTGTTCCTATTGACTCTCCCGCTTTACTTTGCTCTTCAACAAAGGCAACATTTTTCCATTTACTATCTGATCCATTCCTTGTTATTTCCTTCACAACAAGCTCCTCTTTTGATACTTCATCACTCACACCAGGTTTTGACATACTTTCTTCATCTACTAACTTCCCTCCTATGTCCTTCCCTTCAAGCTTAAGACCTTGCATAAACCCATTTAAATCAGTCTGGTTACCTATCTCAGAGCGCAATGCAGCCTCAGCTTTAGCAAACTTATTACTTCGCAGAAATTCAAGTATGACGTTCACTGAGCTTGAGTCTGCCATGTCAGAACTGTAATAGACAAGCAAAAAAAAAACCCTAATATTACAGCCAAAAAGATCAGAGAAGAAAGAAAACGAACATAACTTGACAAAACAATATTCCGCAATTCGTGTACTTCATCAAGACCTGTTCAAACTCAAATGCAAGTTTCAGCAAGTGTCAACACGCGGCTCAACTACAAATTCCTTTCAAAAAAATCAACGCTACACTTCGTTTTCGAATGTCACACTTGCTTCTCAACTTCAAAACGAAGAAAAAAAACTCAGTGCGTTGATGATTATGACAGATAGATTAAAAGTTCGGATCGAATCTCGATCAAATTTGCATTTCAAATTACTAGGTCTGCCATCGAAAACGAAGCGCGGCTCCTTTTTAGGAACCTTGGGAGTAACTAAACAGAATTTTTGAAAAAAAAAATACTCAATTTCAAACGTCGCATTGTAGCCTAGTTAGATGTAACTTCCAGTGAGTTTTTTCCGATTTCTACTGTATTGTTACATATAATAAAACCAACTCATGTTATATGAACTGTAAAGTATCACGAATTTTACCTAAATCCGCATATAGCATGCGCCGAAACGTAAGTTTTATGTGCAGATCTTCTTCTAAATCCCCAATAACCTTCTTGTTTTTGCTGCTTTCAGATTTAAGCCTCTTTAAAATTGAAATCTCCGCTTGAAGTCTCGGAAGGAGAGTTAAGGAAGAGAATGAAGAAGTGAAAGTTTGAGCTTCAGTGATTAGCAATGGCGGAAGAGAGATGACCTGGACTGGGCTGAATTTTAGAGCATTTACTCCATTAGCGAACTCTATGGTGTTTCTTCATTTGTGTAATTGGGTATATTTCCCCATAGCCTACTTCCCAAACGCGGACGAATATATTTACTTTAGACCCTCAAGTATGTAAAATTGTCACATGGACTCCCCACACATTGAGTAAAGTCTTTTTTGGCCTTCTTTTTTGGTGGAGTTTTTCATGAGAAAAACTTAAAATGAAAAAACTTGTTATATAGATTGTTTAAAATGAATAAACTTGTGAGAGTTTTTGCAATTTATTTTTTTATAGATTGTTTTATAAAAAAAATTATATACAGTTTATTGAAAAAATATGTGAACTCAACTAAAACTCATGATAAGAACTTAGTAATTAACATAGATATTTTTGAAAAATTTATGGTTTGAAAAAACAAATACAATAATTTTTTCAAATTTCAAGAGATTTTTGGTTCGGAAAAATCACAAAAACTTTTGTTGTAGTTGCTTTTAACGTGTTTATACTTTATAATTTTGGTCAAACATATAACTTCTTCAATATTTTTTAATAGCTAAATATTCTAATTTCGGGCAGTCTTGTCGTGTTTTTATTAGACACGGCACAATATTTTTTTATATAACACGAAGATGACACGATACAACGTTGTGTTTTGCTTCATGAACACGATAAAAACGATCAACATGATAAACACGAAAAATATAAAATAAACATATAGTTTATTTAACTCATCATACAAAAATATAAACACGATAAAAAAAATAACTCAATACGGCAATCAAAATCTTTCGTTCGGATAGAAGTGGCGAGTACTTGAACCAAGAGTTCCAGTATCATCTTAGAAGTCGCAGGATAATCTCACAGCTTACTCCACCCAAAACACCACAACTTAATGGTGTGTCTGAGAGGAGAAATCAGGCTTACTTGATATGGTTCGATCTATGATGAGCATAAGTACTCTTACTTTATCATTTTGGAGTTATGTCGTACTCATCACAACTCGTATCTTGAATATGGCACCATCTAAGAAGGTAGACAAAACACCATATGAGATTTGGTATGGAAAAGCTCCACCCTTATCTTATTTGAAGGTTTGGGGTTGTGAAGCTTATGTTAGACAGGAAACTTCAAGCAGACTCGAACGTAGATATACCAAATGCATCTTTGTAGGATACCCCAAAGATTGTTTAGGATATGACTTCTACATCCTTAGTGAGAATAAGATCTTTATTTCATGAAAATTTGAATTCATAGAAAACAAGTTTCTAATGGATGAAGAAATCATTGTTCTTCAACCTACACAAACACAAGGCGTTCGCAGATCCGATAGGACTCGTCAGGAACCTAAGAGATATGGATTTCTCATTGATGAGTGATTCATGATAATGAATGTTGATGAGCCCATCAGCCATCGATATGCAATGGCAGATCCTAAATCTGAAAAATGGATTGAAGCCATGAACGCAGAGATGCAATCCATGAGAGAAAACCAAGTTTGAGATTTGGTTGAGCTTCATCCCCATTGTAAGAGTGTTAGGAGTAAGTGGGTCTTCAAGAAGAAGATTGACATTAATGACAATTTACACACATTCAAAGCAAGACTTGTTGCAAAAGGATTCACTCAAACTCAAGGAGTTGATTATGATGAAACTTTTTCAGCAGTCGCTATGATTAAATCTATTACGATACTATTTGTCATAGTCGCATATTATGACTATGAGATATTGCAAATGGATGTTAAAACCTCTTTTCTAAATGGACACTTGGAAGAAGATGTTTATATGGTTTAACCCGAAGGTTTTTGTTGATATAAAGCATCCTAATAAAGTGTGTAAGCTCAAGATATGTATTTATGGGTTAAAAAAAATCATCTCGAAACTGGAATCAACGTTTCGATGATGAAATCACAAAGTATGGTTTTATCATAAACGAAGATGAATCTTGCGTTTACATGAAAACTAGTGGGAGCTCGATGACCTTCCTGTTCCTATATGTGGATGACATACTTATCATTGGAAATCACATTCCGGCTTTACAAGATGTGAAGTCTTGGCTTGTAAAGTGCTTTTCAATGAAGGATCTAGGTGAGACAACATACATTCTTGGTATTAAACCTATAAAGATAGATATAAACGATTATTAGGGTTAAGCCAAAGTACATACATTGACAAAATCTTGAAGCGATTCAAGATGGATAACTCTAAGAGAGGATATGTACCAATAAAACATGGCACAATACTAAGTTCATCTCAATGTCCTAGCACAAAGACTGAGCTAGACAAGATGAAAGATGTTTCATATGCTTCGACAGTTGAATCCATCATGTATGCTATGAATTGTACTAGACCTTATGTTGTGTGTGCTATGAACATGAAAAATAAGTATCAAAAAAATCTAGGAGGAACTCATTAGATGGGTGTTATTAACGTATCCCTCTAGGTATACATTAAAGATAACAGAGTTGATATCTTTAGGACGACCTAGTTAATGGTCGCTACCCGACCTAGCACCTGACCCGGGCCCTTGCCCTCGTGGTCTCGCACTAGGATCTTGGTACTTGGCTCTCTCGCGCCCAGGTCCAATTCCAGACAACAATCTTCGGTCTATGATAAGCCAAAACACAGTTGGTCACCTCCCAGAGCGACAAGTGTACCGCTCAAAGCGTTATCCACTGTCTCTTATGCACCGATAACAGGCGGCCTCTAGTAGTGCACGATCCACCAATAGGACTCCTCCACATCCTGTCGGCCCAGACGGCACAAAGGACATTGTTGGGATCATGCTCAGAGGATAACAGGTATAAAAGGAACCCTTCTCCTCCAGAGGAAAGGATCACCTCCTTCCATCCAAAACCCTAATCTCCGTAAACCCATACACACTTATACTAACTAGACCGTGAGAGCCTCGTCCCGGGACTACCTCCCTGACGTCGACTAACGTTCCTTCTTCATTATTGTGATTATAAGGCTTGACCCAGGCGGAACCACCACGAGACAGCGTTAAGTCCAGGACAAATATCACAACATTTGGCGTCATCCGGGCATGTACTCAGAGTTACACAACCTTGATACGACACTAAGCGTTGTCAATGACGGGAAAGGGACCTGTGGCACCCGAAGGAGGAGAGATAAGTCCACTTAGATCCATGTCATCGCTCGACGTCACACAAATATATGCATCAGAAGGACAAGCCTCCACCAAAATGCCAGCTGCACAAGCACCATGCTCCACGACGGACACCGCAGCGGCGTCAATAGCCGCCTTATGGCGATCGCCACCCGTCACAAGAGAGCATATGGTCACAACCACGACCATAACTCCTCATATAACAGTGACTCAACAATCTCAACCACCAACTCAACAGTTACAACCACTGGCTTCTCAATCACAATCGTTGTTGCAGCAAGCGGGGACGAACGCTTGGTCCTTATGAACCATATTGTCCTCTTTGCAACACCCAATATTGAATTACCAATTCCCTCCTATAGTTGGCATGTCACACATTCCACTCTTCGCACAACAACCACCAGTGTTTAATCCCTACATCTAACAGCTGCAGGGATCCATTCCCCAAGTGTCACCATTGCAGGGGTCCAACCCTCACATAATATCGACGTAGGAGTCTAATTCTCACTCGTCATCAGCACAACAACTCAATCCCATGCACAACAGTCATAAGGGATGAATCTGTACATGCTCCGGCAGTCGGCATCGAGCTCACAGTTACAGCAAAGCACACAAACGAGCTCACAATAGCAACCGTACATATCGCAGGCGGCAATGTACAATCAGACGTACGACAACCCGTATCATGCTGGAAAATTCATGATGTACTGTGGATTCCCATACCCACACTTGGAAAAACCGATAAGGAGTACCAGTTTTGTTTTCTGCCAGGAACTCTTACAGTACGAGATCCCACACTCAAAGATGATAGCGAATATCCCAAACTATGATGGCACCACCAATCCAGACGAACACATCGACACTTACGAGTGGACGATGACGTCATTGAGAATGGATAAATGGTTCACCTGCACATACTTCCCATTTACACTATCGAGGAATACATGAAAATGGTTCAAGGCACTAGGACCTGGTAGCATCTCGAGCTTTGAGCAGCTGAGATATATTTTCCTCAACAATTTCATGCAGTTAAGGAAGGGTACGGGAGATGCAAACTCAATTGTAACACTTGATTTCCTAGTATGATTTTAATTCCAAGTTATTTATGTTTTCTTTTGGGACATGGCGTGTTGAGGTGCCTCAATACGGCGTGTTGGCGGCTGGGAAGGAAATCCTATTTTTAGGGTGTTGTACCTTATTTAAAGGCCTTAAGTCCCCTTGACCGGCCTCCTTACCTGCCTCCCTTGTTATCTAAAACCCTAAATCGAGTCTTGATCTTTCCTTTGTGGTGATCTTGAAGTTTTGAGTGGATTTTGTGGATTTTGTGCTCATTTGAAGGAGCTTTGGAGTTTGAAGGTGCCTAGCTTGGAAGGAAGGCCATAGATCCAGAATCTCTCCTCTTGTTGCAGTCTCCTTGAGGTATCAAGTTCATACCTTGCTTTGTGGTTGATTAGATCTTCTCTTATGGGGTTTTGCTATGATTTTTGGCTCATTGTTGGGTGGTCTAAAGAGTTAAGTCATTTCATGGGTTGTCTTGTTAGATCTAAGCATTTTATGGCCTCCTTTGGCTTAAAGGTGCAAGCTTTATAAGGTTCTACGTCTCATGCATGTATTAAGTCTTTTATTAAGCCATTCTTGAGCTTTAAAGCTTCTCTTTGGCATGAATGAACGTAAAGTTGGCAACTTTACGTGGTCTTTCAACTCTAAGGTGTCAGATCTGCATTTTGGACCAATGACTTTGAAGATTAAGTGCTTATTGTTTAAGCCCTCACTCTTTTAAGCCTAGGGTTTGGGTTTTAGACCCATTTTGGTGGTTCCTAGGGGTAAAGTTGGAAACTTTACCCTTTTAGATATCATTTTAGTTGAGATCTGAGCTTTAGAGCTCTTAGATTCGATGAAGGCAACTTAATGTACTAAGTTGTTGGATT